ACTCTATTCCCTAAGAACTACATTAATGGGTTGGTTGCTTAGCAGCTGTGAACAAGACAATATAAGTTATCTCTCTGATTAAGATCAGACTTTTCTGCTTGATGGAATAGATCATCTTATAACCCGTTGAATAACTTCAGGCTTTAAGAAGATAATGTGAGACCTACTATTAGCCCCGATGTGAGAGTGTCCTTAGCTCCTGGAAAGAAATTCCTTCCTCTCTCCTTTAACTCGACTAACTTCTATCCTTATGCCCTTACACGAGACGCAGATAGCGAGCAGACAGCTAGATTCTTACTGATAAAACCACCTTTATTTTTCTTCATATGGAAGATTCCTCCATCCACATGAGTACAATAAATGGCATTTTAAGGCTATATAGATAAAATAGAAAGAAATAACTTCTTATTTAATGTTAAAAGGTCTTTACTCGAAGAGGGAGTCGATTCACGTACTTCACCATTTCCTGGCTCGTTATAGCCTTTCCCCGGTGAAGGCTATGGCTTATCCGGAGCTACTAAGGACACAGCCAATCAAACGATCGGTAAAACGGGTCTCCTTTGGTACAATCTCCTCGGCCGAGTATATCCCGTACGGTTGTTTTCAAAAAGTAGTGCACATTCTATGAACGAATTCCTTCATAGCCCTCATAGATAGAGTAGAGATAAATGGGAGAAAGCGGATTAGCCACGTTCTAAGTCTTCGCCATCTGACTATCATAAGAGTAATTTCATCCCAGAGTCTCTGGCTGAGGGATATCTAGTTTAAGTGCCAGTTGCCATTTATCTTCTTGGAGAAAAAATGGCATTTCCCTGCCAGTTTCCTTTGCTGTCGATGCAGGCGAGTTGGGCCTATTCTCGTCTCGAATAAGAGAGTACTTTTTTTATAACATAACATATAATCTTTCCTGTTTTATAAAATAACATATAATCTTTCCTGTACTAGGATACGATATGCAAGACTCCTTTTCTTTTCCAGTACTATTATAAGCCCCTATAACCAGGGAGTTTGGGAGTTTAACTAGAACCTAGATAGAATCTCCGGAATCAGAAGCTGCTATCTCTCGCTATGCTTTTATGCGTGGATTTGAGAGCGCGGCATAGCTGGAAACTCCTAAATTTGAGGAAGGTTCTAACCTTAATTAAAAGGTAAGTTTGAAGAGAGATTGGGAAAAGTTCCCGAGTGTGAGTATCCAACCCCTTTGGAAAGGATCTTTCTGCTTTTTACTTTCCTAATATGTGTGTACATATTGATTGTATCAGTACTACCAGCGAGCTAAGAGCTAACCCCTTTCTTTTCCTATGGCCTTTTAATACTCACCCCCGAAGAAATAGAGATAGAGAGAATTAGGAAGGCAGAAAGAAGCACTGGCTAAGACTTTCATGGAGATGGGGCATACAGGGCAAGTGTACTAGCATATGACTTTCCATTGAATTAAGGTTTGTCAAAGCCTAAGCTGCTACTTAGAAAGGGGTTAGCTCTTAGCGGGTAAGGCAAAAGAAAAGGTGTCCGCCTAGACTACTGCCACTTTACTTTAGGATAAGGTTTTTGCTTCGAGCAGCTCTCGGGCATTGATTGAGGAAGTAGCCCAACCTTTTTTCATCTACGCAAAGAGGAATTACTTCTTCTTCATTCGAGGAAATGGTGCATCTAGATCGATTCCTAAGGCTGGTAATGCCGAATCAATCAAGGATAAGGCAATACAGTCAGAAAGGAAAGCCAAAGCCGTGAGAATGAGCCCGTCCCAGCCCAGAAGGTGGCGGAGAAGTTAAGTGAGTAATTAAGGCGCCTTGCAGTTTCGGAATAAGAGCCTCGCCCATACCCAGCAAATCAAAGAAGAAAAAAGTCAATAAGACGGGGGAAGGAGAAGGAAAGTCATGAGAGAGTGGCTAAGTGCTAGTTTTATTTTCTTCATATTCATATTACAGTTAGCGCTTTTTCTTTTAAGAATGCATCTGGTTCTATCTTTCTTTCGCTAGTTAGTCCACCTTTTAGTGATTGTAGTAATTCAGGTTTGATAGTAGTTAGAATGGCTCTCTCATATTGAGCAATTTTGTCTAATGGCATTCGATCACAGAATCCATTGACAGCTGCATAAATGACTAGAATTTCTTTTTCAATTGGAAGTGGTGCATATTGTGGTTGTTTCAGTACTTCTGTCAGCCTTGCACCTCTATTGAGTAATGCCTGAGTCGCTGCATCAAGGTCTGAGCCAAATTGAGCAAAGGCGGCCACTTCGCGATATTGTGCCAATTCCAGTTTTAAACTACCGCAGACTTGTTTCATAGCTTTCAACTGAGCGGCAGACCCGACGCGACTGACAGATAAGCCGACGTTAATAGTAGGTCTAATTCCGCGATAAAAGAGCTCTGTTTCCAAACAGATTTGTCCATCAGTAATGGAGATCACATTGGTGGGAATATAGGCCGATACGTCTCCAGCTTGTGTTTCAATGACGGGTAAGGCGGTCAAGCTACCTGCACCTGTCTGGTCCGATCGTTTAGCGGCTCTTTCTAAGAGACGAGAATGTAAATAGAAAACATCGCCTGGGAAAACCTCACAGCCTAGTGGTCGGCGTAACAATAATGACATTTGTCGATATGCCACGACCTGTTTACTAAGATCATCATAGATTATTAATGCGTGCATTCCATTATCGCAGAAATATTCCCCCATGGCACACCCAGAATATGGGGCCAGAAATTGCAGAGGAGCAGGATCCGAAGCGGTGGCTGCTACAAGAATGGAATATTCTAAAGCATTCGCTTCTGAAAGAATTTGAACTAATTGTGCCACAGTTGAGCGTTTCTGTCCAATCGCAACATAGACACAATACAATGTCTCACTCTCAGAGGTGGCCCTTGAGTTCATTTGCTTTTGGTTTAATATGGTATCGATAGCAATAGCTGTTTTTCCAGTTTGGGTCCCCGATTATAAGTTCTCGTTGACCACGACCTATAGGAACCAGGCTATCTACCGCTTTTAACCCTGTTTGCATAGGCTCGTGCACAGATTTACTTTCAATAATCCCAGGGGCTTTCACTTCGACACGTCTTCGCTCGTGATCGCTTAGAGCCCCTCTTCCATCAATAGGTACTCCCAACGCGTCGACCACACGCCCTAGCAGGGACTTTCCCGCAGGAACATCCACAATAGATCCAGTGCGTTTGACAAGATCTCCTTCTTTTATAGCGGTATCACTACCAAAGACAACAATTCCGACATTCTCATTCTCAAGATTCAACGCTATTCCTTTCACACCGCTGGCAAATTCAACCATTTCCCCAGCTTGAATCTCGTTCAATCCATAAACACGTACAATCCCATCTCCAACTGAGACCACTCGACCGATCTCATCCACTTTCAAATTAGTGTAAAAGTTGGTAATTCTACTTTCTAATAGAGTTGTTAGTTCCGCTGCTCTTACAGAGAATTCCATAATTTCTTTTTCAATTCATTTGACCTCGAGGTAAGGGGGAATACCGCAGAATCAAAACCGAAACGTCGAAGTGAGCTGTGGCCTATGCCTGCGATTCGGCATCAAAATTCTGCCGTCGCAAAATTTGCCATTCAAATCCCAAAAGGACTGGGATCTGACTCCCCAAAAAAGAGCTAGATCTGCACGGAGTTTATAGAGTTTGTCCAACGACTCCTCCCCCGTGGCGGTACGGGGATTGTCGAGAGCACGAGCTCCCCTTCCCAACCAGTCCCCTTCTGGTTCCGAATCAAGGGTGGCCATCCGCCGGATTATATCGACCTTGATTCGGAACTGGTCTTCGGCCCGAATTCCGGCCATAATGATCTCCTGGGCCGACGGATTTTTCGATTGGGACAAGAGTCGCCACTTTATCCGCTCAATCGAGTCCCCCCCTATAATTTCATCGTGGGGGTAGGGGTTTTTTTTCGGGCAGAACCTGATTAGCAGCTTCCTGCATAACAGGAAGAGCGGGAGGCATAGCTTGTTTTGTTGCCCCGGAATCGGAATCGGACGCGGTTCGGACTCGGACTCGGACTCGGACTCGGAATCGGAAGAGGAAGAAGAATCGGACTCGGACTCGGACGACCGAGCTACTACGCCCGGAACTGGCCGAATCCTCCACCAAATCGGAAGTATAGGTAAAGAAATCTGAATTGGAGGATTCGTCCGTGAGGCATCATGTAATTTGCCATGGATAGCCCCCCCTCGGTAGCGAGAAAGAAGGCCCGTAGAGCAAATCCAAACATCCGGCCATGATGAGAGTCACGAAGGAGCCACTCCGAAGTAAGAGTCTGGATAAGGCTTCCTTGCTCAGTGAGCTAGCAAATCTCCAGACCAGACTATCGAATGTCTCAATAGAAAGCAGATAGTAAAAAAGTGAAAGAAAAAAAAGAAGGATAAGCAAC